ATTTTGTGCAGAGCAACTCCAAGCACTTATACAGAAGTAATTCAAAGAAGCGCCTGTAGGGCTTTCTGAAACTCTGATGACCAGTATACCAGTTAATACAACAAAGCCATGCTTGTGCACTCGCTTTTGTAGAATACAAAGTCCTGTCAGGTTAATGTGTTCTTCTGCCTTCCAATTCGCTCCGCAGGTTATCTGCACAAAGCGATGTGTTCTCTTATCTGACTCATCCTGGAGAGTTCCATCTTTCAGATTCAGCCCACTCACACGCACTTTTCCTACCCACCCACCACCTATCTTTGTGCCCTCCACCTCATCCCCTCTAAGCAGTCCAACCGCGGAAATTGTTGCTTATTTGGATGCCAATCGGTTGACTCAGCCGTCTCCTCCTGGGTAAGTTTGTCCCTCTGTCTGCAGTCATCCCACCGACCTGTACATATCCTGAAATCTGACCGGGATAAAATCGTGTCCAATGACCTAGCTCAGGATATTGCACATCAATAGTCACTATGTTTAAGGACGCACGTACTAGTGTGTTTCACAGAAATACGACAGACCGTGAGACTCTTACAACACTACACTGGAAAGGCTGCACCATCCTTAGACTGCCTGGCATGAATGACTTGTAGACTACCACTGACCAGTGACTACGTAACTCGAGATCAAATATTGCTTGATCCGAAATCAATTGAACTAGTTTTGAAGCTCGCCCACTCTATGACGTAGTGCGCTGGAAATTCTAGATGATTTGCTTCTAAGGGGCATTCGAATAGTCTTCGTGGTCGCCGGCTACTATTTGGATAACGGAATCCTTGTCTGTTTTGCTGCTATCCAGCGTCGTCAGCCAGAGGTTCTGCATGACACCCATCACGAAACTCCCAATGTCGGTTTTGGCAACCGGATTACGTCCCGTGAACGAAGTTTGAAACCATAGACGTATGTTGAAAATCTGCTTCCTTGTCCTGCTTTCGCTATTCCAGCTCCATCGCTTCTTCCACCAAGATGCTTGCAAAATTCCTTTTTTATCGCCTTTCCGTCTTTGGCTCATCGTTCATCCCAGTCTACGGGGGCACTAAGTGCTTCGGACACAAACACACTACACTCCAAACATTTTTTTTAATTTTTTGGAAGAAGAGTCCCTAGGTGTTACTCTGTCTTCATACACCGCTTGAATTAGTGACTTTAATTTCATTTGTTTGTACGTTTACAACAGCAAGCTGGTTTCACTCGTACGTTAGTCACTTTTTTGTGTGCTGCATCCAACAGACCCATATCCACGAATCCAATCTAGTACTCCGATTAACTGCCCTATACCTAAAAAACCATATGCGCTTGTTGTGAAATGCTTATTTTTCTCGACTGAGGAATAACAGGTTGTTCGAAATGGATAGGACGTAAAGCGGTTATCGGGTGATTGAGGATTAGGATTTAAATAACTAAATGTGGAAGGTTGGTCGTTGTGCCGGGAAAAGCCTCCTTAGAATCTAGTTAGGTATACTGACTGTAAACTATGTACTAAGGATACTCTGATTCTTATTGTGGATCGGTTTATCTTCCGCGTCAATCAGTTCATCTGCACGCTTGAGGTTTGTTTGATCTAACCTATTTTGCATGTGCGAAGTGCATATCCAATTGTGCTGCAAAATTCTTTTGGTTGCTGTTCAGGCATTAGCATCGAAGTATAGGTGAGATCAATGCACATCCAGCTAGGGCAACATCCAGTTCTATTCTCACGAATTTGTCATACATGGCAATCCTCAGCACAAGACAATGCTTAATAGCGTCGTGGATGATCTTACACCGACCTGCATGATCCTGTAGTAAACCAGATTGATATTTGAGGCTCTCTACGGGCAACAGATGGCCAAATGACCTAGCTGAGTCCACGACTGGTTTGCGTTTGGTGGTATTCAAGTAACACGGCATGAGCGCGTATGCTGAAAGTTCGTACTGGTCAGGAGCGGACGATGAAGTAGTCTTCCATCATTAGCTACTTTGTGAACATCAGCCCGAAATCTATCATCCAAATCTGACCCGAGCTTAGTTGTCAAACCTGGATGCTCTGATCGTTCGCCAGGATGAAAATATCCCAATCTTCTAAAACACCGTATTTCAAATTTACGAAGGTGAAGATCGTAAAGTGCACCCTCGCCACAGGTTGCTTGAGGAATGAGCCCGGATAGCTCTCCACAGAAAGTATCCTCAGCATCAAAACTGTAGTCCGTTTGGGCATAAGCCGACACTACAAACAGGCACCGCTTTTTATGCCGACAAGAATTTAGTTTGATTGAACTGGGTAACCGGACGGCGCAAACGCGATTGTTCACCGGGATCCAATCCAGCAAAGCGCGTTCAGCTCTGGAGCTGAGTGCAACTCTCACGCCATATATTCCACGCTTCATTGCTTCTGGATCGCCGGACATACGGAGGGAGAAATGTGAAAGATCTGAGTTCATCCTTGGCGTTCTGAGACGCATAACCACACTCGGGTCTTGTATGCCTGTTTCGGAGACACAGCGTACATCAATTTTGATGGAGTATAAGGTCTCAGCAAGCAATTGCCAGTTTGACATAGATTGCGGACGGCAGGATGTTCAGGGTTGCTATCGCCTAAGTCACCAGGTTGTAGGATCCTTGCTTGACTGGATACCCGTTGATAGTCGCCTCTGCGCTGTTCGTCTTGCAATGTCTACGAAGGAGTCTCACACGGGGAAATTGGTTGATGTCTGTTTGTCATATCTGTTTACGCCCCCAACTGACTACAGCTCTGACACCGTCAAAGACCAGTTTTATGATGCCCTGTTTTGGCGAGCTAAAAACTCAGGTATCGCTGTAGTTGCCGAAAATATGAATGCACGAATTTGGCAGGCTTGGCCTATCTGAGGCTCAGTTAGGTGGTTGACATGGACTGGACCTGGTACGTACGGACAGTGATGATGAAGATTGCTCCAGCTGTGTGCTGCCGCAGGCTGTTTTTGTGCATTACCACCTTCCGAAATAGCCAAAGTTGTCTGGTCACATGGTGTCCTCCGACGGCGTGCCGACCACGAACTCAGATCGTTTACATTACCATCAGTTACCGATGTTGCGAATCAATGAGTGGCCGCCAGTCGTTTTTGTAACACATTCATGGATTTTGGCCACGCACTCGTCCTGAGTCGCCTCTCCCTACGTTTTCCAGGGCCACGTAAGGTGCGGAAACTCGCCTGACAACTGAAAGTCTGGAAGACCCGCATGTCAAACGAATTTATTAGAATGGTCTTCTAGAGTCTCTTTCAAGTGCTTCACCATCAGATATGAATTCATACTGGGATGAGATCTCCGTCTCTTTGCACAGTGCTGGGAATTTAGCTTGTTGCACGACGCTACCAATCTCACTCAATCACTGAAAATCAGGCCGAACAGTGGCATTGCTTAACTCTCAGAGCAATATCCAAGCAGATCTAGAGCATAAATTGACGCGACGGCTTATCGAGTGAAGGTGAGCATGCGAACCGACCGTGAATTCTGGCAAACACAGAAAGAAAATGGAAGAAGCCTAGAAAGCCGGTAATGCCCGGAGATTATTTCGGTCAATCCGCGCTACCTGTCCCAGGAAAACGTTGGCCGAAATCATCAATGATCAGAAGAGATAGACCATTTTGAATAAAAAAACACCTCGACTGGTAGGCTGCCGCCACTCATTTGGAGCCCACAGTTGATGAAGAACCCTAGACGGTGAACTCGAAACCCCCTACGGCCTCGGAGGTCATACTCGTGGACATGAATCACTGAAGGTGTATTAGTCCGGATTGGAGTGTGAAGGCTGAGGTCAATGCACGAGTGCATTGACAGATGAGGGGAATGCACGAATTGCAAGGCTCATGTCATGCTGTCGTTGATGATGATGATGATGAATGCACGAGTCTGCAAGGCTCCGGTTGCGTTTTCTAATTTGAGACACTTATGGCGTCAAAATTGAATCTCAAGGGACGTGTGTATCAGGTTACAACGCGGAATGTTCGTTATATGGCTGTGACACTTGACCTGAGACGTCTTCAGGTGTTCGACAATCGTTGTCTCAGGACCATAGCTCGTGTGGGTTGGTGTCGGCCTATCCGTACTGAGGCAATCAGAAAGCGAGTTTTCGGTTGTGCGACGGGTACTTCCATCGAAGAATATGTCCTGCACCAAAGGCGTTTGGTTGGGACAAGTGTTGCGTATGCCTAGCTATCGTTTGCCGAAGAGTGTGCTGTTTTTTATGCCCAACTCAGTAGAGTAAGCAGAGAGGTGGCCAACCCTTGACTTGGCAGAGGGATATGAAGGGGGCTACGAAACGCTTGGGTGCTGTCGGTGCTACTCGCCTTCCAGGATGAGGACCACGTGTTCACCACTGTGCCTAGTTGAGGGCGCTGCAAGATTTGGCTGCTAATCGATGTTAGTGGCGTTCTTGTCAGTTCCTTGCCTGAATGAGTGTATGGAGATGTAGGCACCTCGTAATGATTGTAGTAAGTTGGCGCCAACTCCCCTTCCTGTCCACCTTTACTCTCTTCCTCACAATAAAGCTTTTAAATAAATGGCGGTTGCACTGGTTGAACACTGATGTTGTGCCGTTCATAGTGTTGACAAAGATGCGAATCAACAGGTTTAGCTTCACACTTGAGTCAGTTGCATACGGTTCGTCGTTGGAGATTGGTGCTTTCATTTTTGAACCCACAATTGTTCTGGTTGCACGATCATGCAGTGAATTAATGATCTGAGGTGAAGCTCCTGCTTTTTAGTTGAAGCGCAATGATCCGTATGTTTATTGTTAGATTCTCTATATGTTTATGCTATACAAGGAAGCTGGTGAAATGAGCATCTAACGAAGTTGAACCGAAAGAACACAAGTGAAGAGTAATCTGGTCTTTTTGGAGATTTTCCTTCAGTTTTGTGAATGCTAGGCAACTTGCAAAATATTCTGAATGTGTCCCCATCCAGCACCTTGCAAGCGGATTTCCTTCATTATCTGTATTTTCTCTTTCAGGTGAGCTGTGCTGATGTCAGATGAACTGAATCTCTTTGACTCACCAAACAGCACTTGGAAATTTGGATACCCGCAAAACACCTTCGAGTTCACTGAATCTCCACAGGATTTTGTTCCCGAGCGAACAGGTCAATGGCATGATGCTGAGGCCTTCAGTCAGCTGAATTCCTGTACTGCGGTCCTACAGGAAGTTATCACAAAGCACAATGTGATACTTACTGATTTTCTGAGCAATCCTGATGGTTCACTCGCTTCTGAGTTAAAAGCTTCGATGCAAAAGTTACTTAACCAGCGTGATCACCTTACCCAGGTTACCTCAGCCGCGATGAATGAGGTAGGAAAATGTCGCTTAGCTCCTTAAGACTAGTAAAGCAACGTTTTATTTCGGTACCTCCTTGTTAGAATGTTCAGGCTTCAGATTTTTCTCCCTGGTTCATGGCTCACACTATGAGAATCATCTCAACAACTACGACACTACCGGCATTATATAGTCATCTGTGGTGAGCAACGAAATCGGTCTTCATAAGAAAGATGAGCACTGTGAGGCAGGCTGGATAATCCAACATCTACTTAAGTTGTTAATGGTACTCCTGATGCCCATGTAGCTCTCTTAGCTGTTCTATCGAGAGAATGGTTTTTAATCAAGGAATCACCTGGGAACTATGTTTCAAGGACGCAAAGCATACTGAAGTTTGGTGGTTTTCTTAGCGGTCTGTAGATGCTGGTGTCAAGGACTTTTTTTACCGTTGATCAGCAGTGTGTGATTTGTCGTTACCTATTTCGAGAGCTCTTTACATGCAACTATGACAATCGGCAATACAGTTCGGTACTTTTTTTTATTCGCGCTACCACATTTTTGTCCTCCAAAACTGGTTTGACTTAATGTCAGAAGATGAGCAGTGGAACTATCATGACCGGATTCCAACTGACGTCTAAATTCAGTGTGAGGTTTATCACGCTCACCCGTGTAGAATAAATGGAAGCGTACTGAGAAATAACTAACCGGATTTTCAGATTTCTCCTTGGGTAACTTAATGTGAAGTTGTTATTTGTACCCGATCATGCCTCGTGGCTCCTTCCCTCCTTGACATCAAACAGAATAAAGTTCATGATAAACTTCATAGCCAATGCGCATCATCATCATCATCATCAACAACAGCATGACATCAGTGTTCAACACCGATGCTTCACTGTCGCACTTTGTACGAGGGCTGGGATACTGTCAGGGCACCCACACCTAGACAGGAGCCAATGCGCATATGAGCATGTTTCATCCATATACCCGTACGCGGGGTCAGCTTATACACAGGTACTATCATTTGTTCATAACAGATCATGTGGCACAGGGCTGATAAAGAATGACTGGCGTTGGTCTCCTAGGTTCCAAGTTGATCGTGCAGTCTGTAAAAGGTGCCATTTTACATGCTTGTCAAGAATGCGATTGGTAAGTGCAAGAGATTAAAAAACAAGCCAGTAGGTCGACCGTATTCTGTTTTATACGGTCATCATCATCAACGACAGCATGACATCAGTGCTCAACACCAATGCTTCACTGCCGTACAGCCATGACTTATTTGAAAGCCTTATTGTAAAGAAAAGAATAAAGGTGGATGGGGGAGGGACTTAGTGCTAGCTTAACACAATCATTCCGAGGTGCCTACACCTCCAGACATTCACTCAGGCAATCGGGATAGAAACTGACAACAAGAACGCCACTGACATCGGGTGCCAGCCATATCTTGTAGTGTCTCCAACAAGGTACAGTGAGGATCACGTCGTCCCCACCCTGGAAAGCGAGTAGCACCGACAGCATCCAAGCGTTTCGTAATCTCCTTCATACCCCTCTGTCAAGTCAAGGGTTGGCCACATCTCTGTTTACGCCAATCTGAGTTGGGCATGGAAAACAACACTCTCTTCGGCAAACGGTGTGCATAGGGCACGTCCCAATCAACGCACCTTCTGGTGCTGGAGAGATTCTTCAATGGAAGTACCCGTTTAACAACCGAACACCCGCTTACTAATTGCCTTTTCACGGATACGCCGATACCAACCCACACGAGCTATGGTTCTGAGGCAGGGATTGTCGACCACCTGAAGACATCTCAGTTCC